TGGGGGGGACAGATTTGGCAACGTGAGCGAGAGTGTAGAGCAGCCTGATGAGATGGTTGCACTGTCCCAAGCCAGCTTTGCAATTGCACTGCATCTCCCTTATAAATGGTTGCTCAAGTGACAGCTCCGCCTGAAAGGATAATCAAACTTTTAGACACTTGACACTTCAGAGTTGCTATTAACAATATATTAATATAATTATATGAATAATATTGACACACACGCTGATTGTGCCATTAAGAATTAGGTACATCTGGCATTTAAATGAAAATACTGGCCATGAAAATATTACAGCTACATGCTGGTAATGGTAGGTTGTTTACAGCTGTGATGCTTGATAGTTATACTTCTCATTACACTATCATTGTCAACAAGCAATTGCAACATGCACAAACAGATATTTTTATATCTGATATTGAGATATTTATAATGGCATAAATGCCACTTGGGATCTAAATATTTCAGCTCTGGAAGCTCACTGTCGTTTTTTTTTTTTTTTTTTTTTTGGGGGGGGGGGGGAAATTTTGAGTTTCTCTGATCTTCTTGAAACTCTGGATTCTTATAGAGGGCCATGGGACTTAGACCTGAGTGCAGAAATGGAGGCTCTAGACCCTTCCAGAGCTGAGATCTTTAGATCCCACGTAGCATGTATGCCATTATAAATATCTCAATATCTCAGCTCTGGAAGGGTCTAGAGCCTCAATTTTTGCACTCAGGTGTAAGTCCCATGGCCCTCTATCAGAATCCAGAGTTTCAAGAAGATTGGAGAAACTTATTTTTTCACACCAAAAAAAAACAAAAAAACGAAAGGGGTACCACCGTCGTTTTTTTTTTTGTTTTTTGTTTTTTTGTTTTTTTGGGGGGGGGGGGGTCGAAATTTTGAGTTTCTCTGATCTTCTTGAAACTCTGGATTCTGATAGAGGGCCATGGGACTTAGACCTGAGTGCAAAAATTGAGGCTCTAGATCCTTCCAGAGCTGAGATATTGAGATATTTATAATGGCATGCTACGTGGGATCTAAATATCTCAGCTCTGGAAGGGTCTAGAGCCTCCATTTTTGCACTCAGGTCTAAGTCCCATGGCCTTCTATCAGAATCCAGAGTTTCAAGATGATCAGAGAAACTCAAAATTTCGACCCCCCCAAAAAAACGACAGTGGTACCCCTTTTGTTTTTTTGTTTTTGGTGCGAAAAAAATAAGTTTCTCCAATCTTCTTGAAACTCTGGATTCTGATAGAGGGCAATGGGACTTACACCTGAGTGCAAAAATGGAGGCTCTAGATCCTTCCAGAGCTGAGATATTGAGATATTTATAATGGCATACATGCTACGTGGGATCTCAATATCTCAGCTCTGGAAGGGTCTAGAACCTCCATTTTTGCACTCAGGTCTAAGTCCCATGGCCCTCTATCAGAATCCAGAGTTTCAAGAAGATCAGAGAAACTCAAAATTTCGACCCAAAAAAACCCACAAGGGTACCACTGTCGTTTTTTTCGGTGCAACAAATTAAGTTTCTCCAATCTTCTCAAAACTCTGGATTCTGATTTATTTTTACATGATTGGATAGGTGAATATAAAATAGCTTATTTAGCTAATTTAACTTATTTTAAACGTATGTAGTTTTAAATAGAATTCAGAAACCCTTGATATTACCCTTTTTACATACAGTAAAGCCCCTTTAATGTAGGAGTAGAGTTAGATAATGATACAAGAAACTTAGTAAAACTGTGCAGGAAATCCATTAAAAAAATAGGCAGTTATTATTTAAAAAAAAAAAAATGTTGTTATAATTTAACAAAAAAAAAGTGACCAAACAGGATGAACTAATATTTTAAAGATTTTATAGTTTCTTTGTTTTCACTTTAAGCAAGGTTTCCCCTTTGTCCAAAACTCAAGATTGACAGGTACATTCAGGCACTCACTTTCAAAGCCAGGACTTTATAAGAGAGCATGAGGTTACCATGGCGATTTAGAAAACTGCATTGCTGTTTAATGAATGTTCCACTGGACTGTTTTCTATTAACGCGTGCAGCCTAAAGCCCTTATGTTACTAAAGTATTCAATATGTATTTTAATCTTAATGAAAGTGAAACAGGCTCCGAGAACATAAAAAATAAGCTTTAAAGAATGCCAGGACCTTTTTAAGCTCGACTGCAGCGCAGAGCCCTTCCTGATCCCTTGTTCAGTGAAGCTAATCAGCTCCAATCACGGATCTGTTCCTCTAGACTAGACCCTCATTAGACTAATACCTGTCTTTAGACTATTTATAAACCGCTGCCGAAACAAAAGAAAATCTTAAGTTTTAATCACTCGGCAAATTGGAACGAGACAAGCTTGTTGCCTTATAATTATAAGGCAGATGCCAGAAGGGTCATTGTTTAAGACTCAGTGACTCACCGAATATGAAACGTTGATTGGTGAATTTGAGCATGCACACAGAATTAATCAGTTTCATGTTAAATTAGCATTGGATTTCCTGTCCTGAATTTTAACCATCTGCTTTACATATAATAGGAAGTGATTTTACTTTTACTGCCTGCAAAACACCCAAATACCATTTTTTCGCACAAGAGATTCTAAAAAAAAAATGCTGGGTTGTTTCAACCTAAATTTGGGTCAAACATGGACAAACCCAAATGTTGGGTTAAAAATTTAATTAAAAAAAATGTACAGTTGAAAGTGAAAGTTGGGTTAAAATTTTAAATTATATTTTTAACCCAACATTTGGGTTTGTCCATATTTGACCCAAATTTTGGTTAAAACAACCCAGCATTGTTTAGAGTGTACTCTGTGAGCGTGATTTCATCCTGGAACAACATTCCAATCAACCAATCAGATTTGAGGGACAACAGATTTGAAGTTTATTCTTACAACCAGGGTACATTGGTACCGGGCAAAATCCCGATGTTACTCACAGTCAGTCTGGATCTTAATTTATTTTGATGACTATGTATATACTTACTGCAGTTCCACTGAGAAGAAAATAATGCTATTGAACTGGGACATGACTTTCTCTTTATATTCATACTTTTTTTATTGGAATGTATCTCATCATGTTACACTTCTAGCCTGGGCCACAGATCTCCATGACAACAACACAAACTTAGCCAATCATTAAACCAAAGCTCTTCAGAATGCATTGGCCTAATGATATAGGATACTGTTGTCGTCCTCAAGTGGCAGATCAATGATGGACCTAATAAAATACAAATGACTCGTGCAGGCTTTTAGGGAGTCACGACATGCTCTGATTGAGAACAAATGAGATAATGAAGTACCGAGAGCACTAAAGCCTCCAAAGGCGTATGTCTGGATGTGGTTTTACCACATTCTTCTCGCATTTCTTTCTCAATAAAACAATGTGGATTCGACACATACACCATGAAGTTTTTTCTTTCTAAAGCCATTTTTAAGGGACCAGGCTTGGAACTCTATTATTTATCCAAATTTCCCCCTTTTTATATCTTGTCTTTTTTGATTGTGGAAATAAAAAATAATAACCTTTAGCAGTGTTGGGAAAAGTTGCTTATAAAACTAATGCATTGCAATATTGCTTTACTCCTCAAAAAGTAACTAATTACATTACTTATTTACTTTTTGTTGGAAAGTAATGCATTACATTACTTTTGCGTTACTTTTTCTCATCTGGGCGGTGTTGGGCTTGCCTGTTTGTTTTTAATAAAAGTTCTATTTTTGGCAAATGTAAAGGACCTTTCACATCAAAAGTGAAATGAATAAGCCTCAGGATGAAGGAAATGCAAATTCACGTCACAGCGGCTAGATTGCAGAAAAATAGGATGCAGGAGGTTCAACACTTGAGCAATATAAAAAGTTAAATGCAAATGTGGTTTATCTTAAGATTTTGTTGAATTGGGTCATCGAAGGACAGCAGCAAAGACTTTGCTTAATAAAGAGTATATAAATACAGTATATTTGTGTAATTTAACACTTAAGTATTACATTTTTTTTAAAAATATTATCAGTTTGCATTGCACTGTTTTTATTCATTTTGAGGAATACTGAATCTGTTTTATGAGTGAGATGAGTAAATGCAAACTCACATTAGAACAATAGTCATATTCTCACACTATGCATTTACTCACGGTTTCTCTCAGTATGGGGACTGAAGAGGTGTCTGGCAATAACTGGGAAAACAAGTAAATTGTGTTACTTATTTGAAAAAGTAACTTAGATATTTTGTGAGTTTAAAAGTAATGCACGGTTTCACTTTTATTTTGATGGTCCCTTTAACACATTCTGTTGACTATCAGTAACGCCGCACGTCTACTAACTGTCATTAGAGAGTTAGCATGTTAGCAGGGTTGAAATAAGTTGACATGTATTTGCAAAGTTACTAGCATCACAATAAAGAGTTAGCAGATATTAAGCAGACATTTTACTAATACTCTAATGAGAGTTAGTTGACAGGTAGTTGCAAAGTCACGTATAGTCAACCGAATGTTCAAAAGGGAGCATAAAAATAAAGTGTTACCTAATGCGCTAATTTACTAGTTACTTGGAAAAAAGTAATCTGATTACTTTACTTGTAATGTATTACCCCTAACATTTTTGAGAGTAATTTTGTTGACAAGATTAACAAAAACACATGTTAATCTGACCTAGATCCAGTTATAGTAGTGATGTACATGCAAAGGCTTCTCTGTGATGGTCTTCAGGGGAAAGCTGAAGTCCCGTAGCAGGAGTGTGTGAGCACAGCGGCTCATCGGATTCATGGCAGGTCTGTCAGCACGCATTATGACAGTTTGAGGACCCACACACATTGTGCTTTTTGTGTTTTATGTTTGTGGAAAATTGTCCCCTGACATTGCTTATAATGAGCATATCTAGCGGTTTCTAAAATACAGTTCTCTGCTCTGGGAAGCCTGAAACTGGTGTGTATCACTTGTAAAAAAAAATAAAAACTTAAAAATAAAATATTTTTTTATTTTATTTTAAACAAAAATATAATATATTTATAATATTTATAATATATTAAGGAAAGCGAAAAAAAAACAGGGAATGTGGAGATGACGTCACGCTGTGTTGCATTATGGGTCCGCCATATTTAAAGGATCGCGCCCAATGCCGCTGTATTTAAATGCAAGTGTTGGAGGCTGTGCTTGGATTTTCTGTCGAGATTTTATTAAATGTCGATATGGTTGTTCAGTTCAACTCCCGTAGCAGGTCACACGATCGTCCAGGGAGGAAACTGAACAACGGAATACGTTTTTTCACCTTTATTTCTTGGAAAAACAACAAGGGAAGCAAGTCGAGGAGCTGACGAGAAGACGCCAGAGAACGGTCGACTCGCCACCAAATTGAGATACCGAGGAATACTGTTCTCTGGGATTTGTTTTCATGATAATTGAATGTAAATAGTTTTATAGGGTATGGGCCATAGTAAAACGAAATCGCTAGTTATTACCACTAACAAGGCTCAAAATAGCCCCAAACACCATAGCATAATAAGGGTCCCTACATGAAAACTGACGCATGGAGAACTTTGTAAGTGTACATACAGTTTAATAAGAAGATACTTTATAAAGACAATACACTTCGCATATCATGTGTGACTGTTCTGATGTGTTTGTCTTTTCCTGTCTTTTTTCAGGTCAGCAGATGCCTCCACCAAGTTTTTTTGTTTTGTTTTTTTGTGCAAGAAACCTACCATAAATTATCTGACCAATATTTATATCTAGATCAGTCAACACCACACAACACCAAAACCAGCCAGTCGTCCAGAATTGGATGGGTCTATTGTGACGCAAGCTAAGCCTGAAGGTACAGTGGCTTTCAATTTTCCAATTGCATACAATTTCATGACAATGAACTTGAGTAACTTGGCTTTTCTGTTGTAAACCGCAGAACTCATCACACAGAGGGAGGTGGCTCAGCCATGGAGACGGAAATGAGAGGTAAGAAGACTCACTTAAGGTGTTCACATATGCAAGTACATAATGTATAACTAAAACTAACACTATTCATTTTTCCCTAGCTGTGAGGACATCCATTACCCACATGGCACAGCAGATGGACCCATTTGAGGAGAAGATGGATGAACTTAGTATGACTTATCAAAATTTGTTTCTTTCTTTTTAGGCCAGCTGAGAAGGACTGAGCCTTAAACCATTTTTTTTTATATATATTTTTGCAATTTTATTTGACACTTTGACCATTCACCTACACATTATATACTTTATCATTCCAATTTGCATCTTGCACACTACATTTGCACACTTCATCCCACTCCATTAGTACTTGAAGTGATATGTCATAATTGTATAGTTGTATACTAAAACTGATTATAATTCTTGTTGTATTTATTTTTTTATGTATTTTGTTAATTTTATATTGTATATTAAAGTTTTAAGTCCCATCAAGTTTGCCTATTCATTCATTCCTGCTAATATATAATAATTAATTCCTGCTCATGCACAGTTTAAAGTGATAGTAAAATTGGTATCATTGTTAAAGTTTTTTAAAGGACAGGGGAATGTAAAAAAGAACGTTAGGGGAACGTTCCCTAAAGGTTGCAATGTAACCAAAAACTAACATTCCCTGAACGTTAAAGTCCCCGTGAACCAGAAGTCGCAAACGATTTTTCTCCAGTGCTGTGACGTATTTCCAAGTGAAACGGAATATTGAACAGAGGGCAGGGTTTTACTCTAGCGCTCCTCCTCTCCATCTCTCGCTCATAGCAAACTAACGGTTTGAGGGGAGTGGTTAAGCGTTTCCCCACCCAAACTGTGAAACCTACGTCATCAGAAAAAGAAACCGTTCCAGACTGGAAGTAACTTTTCAGATTTTGATTAAAGATTACTAAGGTAAAACATTTTTTAAATATATTTTTACTTGCACGGATTAATTGTTCACCACAAGACTAGTAATATGCGCTAACAAAGTAAATAGGTTCAATTTTGATTTCACGGGGACTTTAAGAAAACTTTCCATGGGAACCAAAACCTAACCTTAAAGGGAACCTTAAGGGTTAGTTCCCGCAACCAAAAGCTAATGTTCCCAGAACGTTCTGGGAACCATAAATTGTTTGCCGGTATATATATATATATATATTTAAAAGTGCTTCAACAGTGTGTAGTAGTCCATCAGTCCTGTTGTTATAGATGATTACAAAATGTAAATTTTTGGGTGAACATTTCTTTAATGAGTTTATCAAAACATCAATTAACATTATTCTTGTTTGCTTGCTTCAACATCGGTCAAAATCCACACAAAAATACATCATTCATAACACAAACATTATTTTCAAACAATTTGTCACAAAATCACTTAAAACTACCAAAAAAATATTTCGTTCTAAAGTCGTATTTGTGGACGGGTCAGAAGAGCAGCTTCACATGAACTCATATCACTGGCCCCAAAAGGAACCGATAGAAAAACGAGGCTGGTTTATTATTAACATGCAAAATACAATCATGCATCTGGCCCTGCATTTGCAAAAAAAGAACGAGAGAGAGAGTCTGAATGTCCACAGATATTCTAATTTAAATAGCTGTTCATTCTCTAAGATCCAAAATGCTTTACAATGTAAGAACATTACGAAATTTTGCAAAATCTCAATAAACCTTTATATAAAAGAAAACAACTACTGTAATCCCAGTCATCATGCTTAATTCAGTAGGTCTTTTTGAGTTTCTTCATAATTGTAAGTCTGTACATGTACACATGTACATAAGAACGGTAGCATTGCAACACCTATGCAAGCCTCACAGGCTACGCATGCAAACAGAACAAAGAAGAACAGATTAGGTTTCAAATTCACAGAAACGTGCTAGTTTTTGTAATGAGCGAAAGCTCGGCGCTTCAGTGACCAAACGTCCTGGAAGACTCAAACTCGCTGGGGCACTTGGGCTTGATCCCTTTGCTGTTGTAATAGTCAACCACCTGGTTTGGGACTTCGGCTAAGACACTTTTTGCCAAAGCAGCAGGAGAGGCCTGAGAAGAGGAACAGAAACAAACATTTGCAGGGCCATTTTTCCATTTCGCCATCTGGTCCTGCACTAATGATGTGTGAAGATACTGTGCTTGCTGAAACCCACATGCACACTGATGAAAAACATCCTGAACCTTCAGCAAAAGTGACTCAAAGACGCCTCGAGGAGCTGAGAGGAAATCAGAGGATGCCCACGTCAAAGGAGACGAGAAAAACCCCTCCAACCCCTGTTGGCCAATTAGATGGAGGACAGGAGAGGAGACACGGCGGAGAAGATGGTGTGTTGTTTATTAGGGGCCATCAATACAGTATATGTCAGGAAAGAAAACAAGCCTTAGCACTCCTCCCGAGAGGATCCCAATAAACTGTCACTTTGGCTTTTAGGGTGTATTCACACCAGGAAAGTCCGATAGTTCACTTGCTTTGGTCCGGACCAAATCAATTATTTATTTAATTTTTTTGGGTATGTTTCGCTTTCACACTGCTCTTTTTGCAAGTGAACCAAAATTTGTAAACAAAACCACACGTGTGCTAAGGTCGTCCATTCATTGGACAAGGATTCTCAAGTAGGGAAATCAGGAAGTGCAAAAAAGGCTCAGCAAGGAGATATTTCCCTACAGCAATATTTGTTCTTTAACTAATTTTGTGTAGTTCCTGTACAAACACAACATGAAGAAACTAATGAGTATCATATGATACAATGTCATCTATACAATGTTGTAATTCGGATTTTGAGAAGACGACGAGTGTGACGTTTGAGTGGCTCTATTATGTGTAGAATGTGGGTAAGTTTCATAAAAAAGCAACATTTTGAAATTGAAAGCTGAGCAATATTTCAAAGACTACGTCTGGATTGGTTTCAGAACGATGATCAAAACATAGATAGAGTAAACTGAGTCCATCAGCACTCCCAAATTTTCACAGTCCATCTCGTCCTGGGACGACGTTTCATTCGGTAATGTTTGGCATTTTTGATCTGCTGTTTAATGTTTGATAAATCGCCATTATACACGTCATTTATCATTTGTTTCTGCTTCTTTTTGATCAGGAGATTCTGAACTCTTTCAGAAGGTGCGTAAAAGCGTATAAGTGAAAACATGGATAGCCGTTTGTGGGGCCGAAAGAGTTCATATCTACTACTGTAACACTTTATTTTCAATGGTCCCCTAACCCAAACCCCTAATGAGAGTTAGTTAACAAGTAGATGCAAAGTTGCATATAGTTAGTAGAGTGTCCAAAGTGGACCATCAAAATAGTGTAACCTATCAATTCATTATTATTATTTCATAATAATTATTTTTAAAGATTTTAAAATGGCATTTCTTCCCGTCTCATTACTCCAGTCTTCAGTGTCACATGATCCTTCAGAAATCATTCAGAAGAAACATTTCTTATTACAGTACGATCAGTGTTTTACACAGTTTGTAGAAACGGTGGGGGAAAAAATTGAGGATTCTTTGATAGAAATTTGATAAGAACAGCGCTTATTTGAAATATTTTGTAACATTATAAATGTCTTTACTGTCACTTTTGATCAATTTAATTATTGATGAATAAAAGCATTTATTATTTTCAAATCGCAGAATCCACAACGTTACTCAGACCTTTTCGGCTCTGTATTAAAAACACAACCCTCTATGTCATGTGAAGATGTTGGGGTTTGTCTTGCGCTAGTTAACCCACTCAAGAGTGAACCCACTCTCTGCATTCTGCGGTTTGTTTTCCACCATGGACCGGCAGTAGATGTGGTAATTAATGGAGCAGTCAAGCTAAAGGTTATTAGATTGCTCTGAGTCTGGGTGGGAATGAGATGGAGAGCGAGGAGGAAGAAGGGAGTAATTAAGCAGGAGAGATTCTCCTAAGAGGTACTTCAGACATTGTAAAGATGCTGAATGAAAACCTCTGCATAGCAATGCACTGATTAAAGGGCATGATCTACAGTTTAGCTGCATGTATAATCATTTTAACTTCCAACTCAAAGTAAAGGGAGCTCAGACGTGGGGCATGAAAAGATCTCTTTAGTTCTGAAACATTAGGCTCTCAGAACTACTAAATAGACGTGATAAACATTTGCTAGTGATTTCAACCTTGATTCTCCTGAAGGTGTCTCTTAGAATTCAAACAGCTCTTGAGGACGTCACGCTGGACCTTTTGCAGATAATACTAAATGCAGTGTTGTTATTGTTAAACTAAAACTATTGTCATTAATTGAAATAAATCACAAATATTCAATGAAAACCTTAAATGAAATCCAAAATAAAATCAATAAAAATAACACAAAGTTTAGGTTAAAGTACTAAAATTACAAAAATTAGAACAGAAATAAAGTTGTAATTTATATATATATAAAAAAAAATCTATATAAATAAAAAAAAAATACAAAAGCAATAAAAAAATAAAAAATAAAACCTAAAGTATTCATTAATAAAATCAAATTCGCTTTACTAAAAAAACACATTTTTATGAGTTTGTTGTGATGTTGCACTATTATCTGACAAAATTAATCTGGTATTTGGCTGGTTTAAAATGCCATAAAGGTCTGCATTTGCCCCTTAAAATGGGAATTTCAGCATTTTTGACCTTCTTGACTGTATCCAACAACTAAAATCATGTCATCATTTTGCAATCTAAATAAATCTTACATTTGTGACACCCTATCCATAAAGTAACATCATTTGGGATGACAAGTAATTACTCGCATTCCATATTGTACATATGGTACTGAGTTTAATTTTGTCTAAATAGAATATATATATATATATATATATATATATATATATATATATATTAATTTGTTTATTTATTTATTTTATACATTTAATAGTTTATTGCTTTATTGCATTTATTAGGGCATATTTTGCACCCTCATTGTGGAAAATGTCAATATCAAAATATATTTTAGCACAGCTAGAACACAGTCTATTTAATAAATGTCTATTTAAGTGTCATTTAAATGATTATATATAAATCCCATGTAAACTCACATGTTTGAAGTTACGGAATGGCACAAACTGTACGATGTCACGCAACACTGGTTCCCCTTTAGGCGAACGAAGGATTCCGTCATCCCCGTCCAGCATCTCCATGTCAGTGAAATCTGCGCTTCCAACTCCCACGATTATGACAGACATGGGCAGGTGAGAGGCGTGGACGATCGCCTCTCTAGTGTCCGCCATATCCGTGATCACCCCGTCCGTCAGGATGAGCAGGATGAAGTATTGCTGCATCAAGGTAAGAAGGGACCATTAGAACAAGAGGAACTTTAGAGATGAAAAGAGATGGGATAGAAACACACTCACCATGGCTTCTTTGGTGTGCATTTCCTCAGAGGCAAAGTTGGCCACTTTCTGGATGATCGGGGCAATGTTTGTGGGACCGTACAGCTGAATCTTAGGAAGGCAGTTCTGGTAGGCCTCTACCACACCCTGGATACCTAAAAAGTTTAAGAAGGAAAGTCTGCACTCTTTCTTGGATGTTACTTCATACGGTTATAAAGGTGTCAGGTGTCTGTGTTACAGTGCAATTATACATTTAAGTACTGAGTAATAATAATAATAATTTGTTGTTAACT